GATATTTTTATTACGTGATATGACTAAGCTTTCCTCCAGTCCAGCCTCGCTATAATGACTTAACATTGTATCGTGCATCTTCTGACGCATGAGAAACGTTTAACAAATTAACGAGGTAACGAAATGTTCGAAAAGAGCAACGATCCGTTCAAATTTGGACGATTATCAACCCCCGCCCTCTTTCTCTCTCCCTCTCTCTCACATTAAGAATTATTAAACGTAGTATTTAGGGAAAAAATTCTTGAATTTGTAGGCCTTTAGTGGAAACTGTAAACCGATTACCAGTAATGGTGTAGCCTACAATAATAGGCTATCAGTACTGTTGTAGCCTATAATAAATAGGCTATCAGTACAGCTGTAGCCTACAATAAATATGTAACCAGTAGTGGTGTAGCCTACAGTAAATAGGTAACCAGTACTGTTGTAGCCTATAACAAATAGGGTATCAGTACTTTTGTAGCCTACAGTAAATAGATTACCAGTACTGTTGTAGTCCACAGTAGAACACCTATGTTCATATGTCATGTAGGTGTGCCAGGACGGGTCGTGGCCCGGGTCTTCTCCAGGTGGTGACCTGGCATTACTATGTTCACCACACTAGCCAGACATACGCTGAAGGATACTTACACTTGTGTACACAATATATTACAAGATGACACGCAAATATCTCTCTCTCTCTCTCTCTCTCTCTCTCTCTTACACACACACACGTAGTAGCGATCAGTGAAGAGGCGGGGCCAGGAGCTCGGACTCGACCCCTGCAACCTCAACAGGTGAGTACGACTAGGTGAGTACACACACACACACACACACACACACACACACACACACACACACACACACACACACACACACACATTCAATACTCCTCTTTCAAATCTGTATTTATCGTATATTTTTAAGCAATTCAATATAAAAAACGGCGTGCAAGACAGAATAGTATGTGGATAAACCTCTATAGTATCTGCTAGTCAATTTGGGATGTACTTCTTGCATTTGTGTGTGTACAATTGACACTATAGGAGACCTGATTTTTTTTACGTGTTAATCCTGTAATTTTTTTTTTTAAGGCGAGGCTGTTTGAGGCGCACATAGACGGCGGACTTCGTGTAAACGATATAAATAATGTTATCTATCCTATCCAATTGTTTTGTGTACTTTTTGGAATAATTATTACTGGAGGGTGAGAAAGAGTAAAATTATCCAAGAGCTCATTCCACACGTTTCTTGCAAGTCATTCCACAGAGGTTTCTTGCAAGTCATTCCACAGAGGTTTCTTGCAAGTCATTCCACAAGTTTCTTGCAAGTCATTCCACAAGTTTCTTGCAAGTCATTCCACATGTTTCTTGCAAGTCATTCCACATGTTTCTTGCAAGTCATTCCACAAGTTTCTTGCAAGTCATTCCACAAGTTTCTTGCAAGTCATTCCACAAGTTTCTTGCAAGTCATTCCACAGAGGTTTCTTGCAAGTCATTCCACAAGTTTCTTGCAAGTCATTCCACAAGTTTCTTGCAAGTCATTCCACAAGTTTCTAGCAAGTCATTCCACAGAGGTTTCTTGCAAGGGGTCATTCCACATAGTTGGAAACAGTATTCACCATGATCAGCCGGGCTGTGGTTCGTACGCTGGATTTCGTGTGGTCAGCAGTAACAGCCTGGTTGATGGTGATCTACCGGGAGGCCTGGTCTAGGACTGGGCCGCAGGGGGCGCTGATCCTTCGTAACACCCTCCAGGTAGATAGACATAACTGACAACCTGATAAATTAGACATGTGTATCCAGTAAGCCTACAGGCCTAGTTCCCACAGTTTGCCCTAGAAGGCAAGCCTGGTGGGCATGCCACTTCAGCCTGCCCACCCCTGCCCCCCTCACTCGACGCCAACGATACCTACAGTCAATAAGGCCTACTCCTCTCTCTCTCTCTCTCTCGCTGGCATGGCCCCTTGGGGCCATGGGCACAAACACTGCCTGTGTACCCACGATCTTCGCAAATAAAAAAGCCTCCAAAGCCTTATCACTGAGCCCCGCCTGCAACAACGTGACAATTAACCTTTCGTAAACATTGGTGGCAGTGGTGGTAGCAGCAGTTGTGTTGTCCCATACAAGAAACAACCGTCTCTCAACAAGTTATCCTGATGTTGTGTCTACAAGTCTCAACATCCAGACACGGGTACAAGCAGGATCTAGCCGAAATTTGCCGAATTTCATCGAAAAATTAAGTGGCGTCCTTGCGACTCCATGCCACAGCGCCCCACGCTGTTTCTCAAGGCATGTGTTCAGCGTCACCTGTATGTTCTGTTGTTTTTTCAGCTTAACACGGCTATTTCAGCAAGTAAGAGGTGAGTTTGTGGTGATTTCTGCGTCCAGTGTCAGTGTTTCTCCCCGTGTTTGTGGATGGGAGAGGAGGAAGTGGCCGTTCATTGTCTCACCCACGCTTGCCTCAAGCCACCACCCTACACCACAATGCTCTCATTCCCTCCACTGTCTCTGTAAATACTCTGTGAATTCTTCGCCAGAGCTGTGTATCCGAGTGGCCGAGGTCACTCGAAGCCACATGGATCACAAAGCCACGTGGGTTAAGCCAGATCCCAAGTCACGCTGTGATCTGCTGCCGCATCACTCCACTGACGCTACTGATGCTGCCCGACTTCACGACGTACACGAGTGCCGATCACCGTCACCACGATGCTGCCCGACTTCACGACGTCACCCACGATGCTGCCCGACTTCACGACGTCACCCACGATGCTGCCCGACTTCACGACGTCACTCGTGATGTTCCCTGATGCCACCTCGCAATGTTACTCCATGAAATCCCTCACGACGTCACTCCAGGACGTCACCTTGCGACGTCTGCTGACGTCACCATGCTGCCTGACGTTACTTTGCGATGTCACCCCATGACATCACCTCACGTCACGCCTGACATCACCACATGATGTCATATCGACAGTGTTAGTTTCACAGTGAGCAATATGTCGTGTTGTCGAGAAGACAGAGAAGATACACGTATGTCATGTGTTAATTAATTCCTCTCCGTGTTCTCACATGTTCATGTATGGCTTAGTGTCGATTTTTGCACAGAAAAGCATCATTTGCTAGTTTCAAGCCATGTTGTACCACATGTGCAGTAGGTGTGTGCAGTTTCCCGTGTGTCTTGTGTGGTCTTGAGTCCAGTTGTGTGTGGACCACAGGTCTGCGCCCAGACCACTCTGTAGCACCTTCGTGTTCACCCGGTGTGACCCGCACATTGACAGCTGATATTAGTCAGGCATCAGCGTCTGAACCCCTTGTACAGAAAGCTCTTTATGTTCACTGCTAGTAGATGCTCATCTGAGTCATACCTGCTGCTACGATTCCCCATCCATTCCACCTGACCGTCAGAGCAGTTATTTGTAGAGAACCAGTCTGAGGATGCTCAGACCAACCTCTGCTATAACTCCAACTGTCGAGAGAATAGCTTCTGTGAGCAGCCTGCACAAAGATGATGTCACTTTGACTGCTAGCCCGCTTACTGCAGTATGGTGTATGTTACGACTTCTAGATGTTTCGCCGAGTCGTCCCTGCCACGACTCACTCCACACTCGCCGGCAGTGACAGCCCCAGCAACAGTACCAGTCGAGAAATGTCTTCGTGAGTCGCTTGCCAGAAGTCCTGCCCAGTTGCCGAGTATTGATGACGCCTCACACGAGGGCACTAGCAGGTTGTGCCCCAGGATGAGTGAACCCTGCAACGGCTACTATGATGACCGTACCCTGGTACGTCACAGCTCAGGCCCAGTGATGTCTCCTATGTTGCATTATCTGTCCAGACGCATGAAGGTGTGCAGTGACGCCCCTTGACGCTCACTACCTTGGAAAATGATGTTTAACATACCCCATCTTTTTTTCATCCCTCCCTTTAGGAAGTTTTTTCCCCCGACGTCCATGTGTGTTTTATATATATATATATATATTATATGATATACTAAAAATATACAATATTTATTATATTATACTATATAATATAAATATTATTCATATGTATTCTGTGTTGTGCACTGTTCCTGCGAGAGAGAGACCAAGTGTTTTTTACCGCCAGTGATGGTGAAGGACGACCATGTGGTAGGTGGCCGAGCGAAATGTAGCCAGTAAGCCTACAAGGCGCCTAATTCCCATAGTTTCCTAAGGGTAGCCTGTGGGCATGCCACTTCAGCCTGCCCACTCCTGCCTCTCTGTCACTCGATGCCAACGCAACCTAGAGTCAACAAGGCTTACTCCTCTCTCCCTCGCTGGCATGGCCCCTTGGGCCATGGGCACAAACACTGCCGGTGTACCCACGATCTTCGCAAATAAAGTAAGAAGCCTCCGAAGCCTTATCATGGAACCCCGCCTGCAACAACGTCACAACCTTTTAGTAAGCACATGTGCAACACTTGGGTATCTTTATTGAGGAAACTTCATGCCACACAGTGGCTTTATCAGTCCACTACAAAGATTGGTGAAGATCAGAAGGAGTTTGAGGTAATTAGTCCCTCAGCCTGGAGTAGATGTAATCAGCCCCTCAATCTTTTCAAAATTGATGGACACACAACTCAACACAGCGTCGAAATTTACCTGACAATTTCAACCACTGAAGGAACAGGCAATTATGCAACCCCTGGGTATCTTTATTATGAGGACGTTTCGCCTAACAGTGACTTTCTCAGTTCCATTCAGAGGCTATATACGAAAACAGTAGATGACGTAATCAGTCCCTCGGTCTTGCAGAACTATACACAGAAGACAGTAGAAGATGAGGTAATCAGTCCCTCCGTCTGGAAGTCTGTGTTCAGTACTTTATTCTGCCACTGATATTCCATCATTACACGAGTTTGCCAAACAATGATAGGTAGATACATAACATAAAATGCATTGTATTGCTCTCTCTCTCTCAAAATATTCAAATAAAAATAACAAATAAAATTATTTAATAAATTCGTAGTGAAGAGGTAAACCCGTAAGGGTGATATTGAAGACGTACCTTGTATCCTCCCGTAGTCAGACCAGCGTTCCTCTTTGCTAACACACACTTCATGCGTATAAAGAAGGTTCGTTCTATCTCTTCGTCTGTTAACAGAAAAAAAGGTTGATAGTAAATTGCAAAAATTATTTGTACGCAATAAAAGGCACAGGGGAGGAATGTAAGAGCTCAAGGCCTTTCACACTGTCACCAGTGCTTCGTCAGGAGGCTTATAATCAGGAAACTTATACTCGTGGGATGGAGAGAAATGTCAGAGGCTGACTAGTGTGGTGTCTGTGGGGGGTCAGGTGTGGGGGTAGTGAGGGGTCAGGTGTGGGACAGTGAGGGGTCAGGTGTGGGGGTAGTGAGGGATCAGGTGTGAGGACAGTGAGGGGTCAGGTGTGGGGAGTAGATGTAGGGGTCAGGTGTGGGGACAGTGAGGGGTCAGGTGTGGGGGGTAGTGAGGGATCAGGTGTGGGGGTAGTGAGGGATCAGGTGTGACGACAGTGAGGGGTCAGGCGTGGGGGGGATAGTGAGGGATCAGGTGTGGGGACAGTGAGGGGTCAGGTGTGGGGGATAGTGAGGGGTCAGGTGTTGGGACAGTGAGGGGTCAGGTGTGAGGACAGTGAGGGGTCAGGTGTGGGGGTTTACCTGGAGAAGTGGTTTACCTGGAGAGAGTTCCGGGGGTCAACGCCCCCGCGGCCCGGTCTGTGACCAGGCCTCCTTAGGTCAGTGTCCCAGGATGCGACCCACACCAGTCAACTAACACCCAGGTACCCATTTTACTGATGGGGAACATAGACAACAGGTGGAAAGAAACACGTCCAATGTTTCTACTCTGGCTGGGAATCGAACCCAGGCCCTCACCGTGTGAAGACGAGAGCGTTAACCACCAGGCCACCAGCCACCAGGTGGTGAGGGGTCAGGTGTGGGGACAGTGAGGGGTCAGGTGTGGGGGTAGAGAAGGGTCAGGTGTGGGGACAGTGAGGGGTCAGGTGTAGGAGTAGTGAGGGGTCAGGTGTGGGAGTAGTGAGGGGGTCAGGTGTGGGAGTAGTGAGGGGTCAGGTGTTGGGGATAGTGAGGGGTCAGGTGTGGGGGTAGTGAGGGGGCAGGGTGTGGGGGTAGTGAGGGGGCAAATGTGGTAGTGAGGGGTCAGATGTGAGTAGTGAGGGGTCAGGTGTGGGAGTAGCGAGGGGTCAGGGGTGGGAGTAGTGAGGGGTCAGGTGTGGGAAATAGTGAGGGGTCAGGTGTGGGAGTAGGAGGGTCAGGTGTGGGAGTAGTGAGGGGGCAGGTGTGGTAGTGAGGGTCGATTGGAGTAGTGAGGGTCAGGTGTGGGAGTAGTGAGGGGTCAGGTGTGGGAGTATGAGGGGTCAGGGGTGGGAGTAGTGAGGGGTAGATGTGGGAGTAGTGAGGGGTCAGATGTGGGGATAGTGAGGGATCAGGTGTGGGGATAGTGAGGAGTCAGGTGTGGGGTAGTGAGGGGTCAGATGTGGGAGTGAGGGGTCAGGTGTGGGGGATAGTGAGGGGTCAGGTGTGGGGGACGTGAGGGTCAGGTGTGGGTGATAGTAAGGGGTCAGGGGTGGGTGATAGTAAGGGGTCAGGTGTGGGGGATAGTGAGGATTTAGGTGTGGGGTTAGTGAGGGGTCAGATGTGGGGGTGGTGAGGGGTCAGGTGTGGGGACAGTGAGGGGTCAAGTGTGGGGGATAGTGAGGGGTCAGGTGTGGGGTGGTGAGGGGTCAGGTGTGGGGACAATGAGGGGTCAGGTGTGGGAAGTGAGGGGTCAGGTGTGGGGGTGTGAGGGTCAGGTGTGGGGTGAGGGGTCAGGTGTGGGGTAGTAAGGGTCAGGTGGGGGGACAGTGAGGGTCAGGTGTGGGGTAGTAAGGGGTCAGGTTGGGGTGGGAGGGGTCAGGTGTGGAGTGAGGGTCAGGTGTGGGGATAGTGAGGGGTCAGGTGTGGGGGTAGTGAGGGGTCAGGTGTGTGGGGGTAGTGAGGAGTCAAATGTGGTGTGAGGGGTCAGTTGAGTGAGGGGTCAGGTGTGGGGAGTAGGAGGGGTCAGAGTGGAGTAGTGAGGGTCAGTGATGGGAGTAGTGAGGGGTCAGGTGTGGGAGTAGTGAGGGGTCAGTGTGGGAGTAGTGAGGGGTCAGGTGTGGGAGTAGTGAGGGGTCAGGTGTGGGAGTAGTGAGGGGTCAGGTGTGGGGAGTAGTGAGGGGTCAGGTGTGGGAGTAGTAAGGGGTCAGATGTGGGGATAGTGAGGGATCAGGTGTGGGGGATAGTGAGGTTCAGGTGTGGGTGATAGTAAGGGGTCAGGTGTGGGGGATAGTGAGGAGTCAGGTGTGGGGGTAGTGAGGGGTCAGATGTGGGAGTAGTGAGGGGTCAGGTGTGGGGGATAGTGAGGAGTCAGGTGTGGGGTTAGTGAGGGGTCAGATGTGGTAGTGAGGGGTCAGATGTGGGGGATAGTGAGGGGTCAGGTATGGGGATAGTAAGGGGTCATGTGTGAGGATGATAGTTCAGTTGTGTAATGTTGGCGGGTGTGTGGTAAGTGGAGATATGGGGGTGGAGGAGTGTGTTGAGGTGGAGGTATATGTTGGAGTGGGGGTGGGGTGAGGGGGGTGTACACTTACCCTGCCTAACATAGGGAGAGTGAGGCACGGGTTGAGGGGCGAGGTTGAGCACTGCTGTCATCTCCTCGTGGTCTGCTGGATGGATATACTCAAATATACTGTTGCCCGTTAACTCCACCTGTGGTATAAGCAAGATATACTCTGTATCATCACACATTATATTACTAATAACCACACCACTAACATTAATACCACAACAATAATACCATACCTCTTACACCACAACTCTGTTTAACCCTAGCGACAAATGTCTTACAACACACCACACCTGCCAGACCACATGTCACACTACACCTGTCATACCACAACCCTCACACAACACTTAAGCTGCAAAATTTATTCTGTGAGCCTTTGGGGTTCGTAAATCATTTATATAATAAAACTAAGTATTAACGACTTAAACAGCCTTGATATATTAAAATTCTTGAAGAGAAGCGGAAGACTCAGACATGTGCAGCATCTGGGTACCATTATTGTAGATGTTTCGCCATCCAGTAGCTGCACACCAGATGAACTACCTACCTGAGATATACACGTATAATTAACCTAACATATTGTTCAGCACAAGTACAGCGCCTGCGCTCTGAAGGACCGGGGCTGATGCTGCACTTTTATACCTGCACTGAAAGATGATGAAATTGTTCCTTCTTCATCGGGTCACCTACTTGGTAGGAAACGACCGATGTGTTAATAAAAATAAAAAACTATTTACCCGCTAGTGGTCATATTTAACAACTCACTACAAGAAGGAAAAGTGCCAGTACACTGCCGACTTAATGTCATCACTAGAAACACAGGACTGGTACCCTCGACTGTCCTCTCATATTAACAATTTTAGACAAACATGCAGTTATTAAACAACCTAGTAACTGAAAAATCAATCTGGATTTCGCAACAAAAGATCATGCCTGGCTAACTTGCTGGATTTTTTATATATTCAAAAAACTAGAGAGACAAAGACCCAAGCGAGGTGTTATATGTAAGGTTCCTAATAATCAGTGAACAAGGTACCCCATCATGGATTACTGACCACAATAATGGTGCATGGTATAGGCAAACCTTCCATCCACTCCCATTCCATTTGGTATGGTATAATTGTCACGTATTTTATGCCGGCAGTGACCGGAGGAAGTGAAGAGTTGGGAGAGAGCCTTCTGCTTCACTATCCTCGGCTTAAACATCTATATAATAAATCTTCATTAAGACAGAAAACAGTCATTCGCAGACAGCTGAGGTGTGGCTGTTCAGCTATCTGCTATTTATCTGTATGTCTCCCACCAGCACCAGTGTAACACAGCACCCAGAACAGCAGTAGTAGCAGTGTAACACAGCACCCAGAACAGTAGTAGTAGCAGTGTAACACAGCACCCAGAACAGCAGTAGTAGCAGTGTAACACAGCACCCAGAACAGCAGTAGTAGCAGTGTAACACAGCACCCAGAACAGCAGTAGTAGCAGTGTAACACAGCACCCAGAACAGCAGTAGTAGCAGTGTAAACACAGCACCAGAACAGCAGTAGTAGCAGTGTAACACAGCACCCAGAACAGCAGTAGTAGCAGTGTAACACAGCACCCAGAACAGCAGTAGTAGCAGTGTAACACAGCACCCAGAACAGCAGTAGTAGCAGTGTAACACAGCACCCAGAACAGCAGTAGTAGCAGTGTAACACAGCACCAGAACAGCAGTAGTAGCAGTGTAACACAGCACCCAGAACAGCAGTAGTAGCAGTGTAACACAGCACCCAGAACAGCAGTAGTAGCAGTGTAACACAGCACCAGAACAGCAGTTGTAGCAGTGTAACACAGCACCCAGAAACAGCAGTAGTAGCAGTGTAACACAGCACCCAGAACAGCAGTAGTAGCAGTGTAACAGCACCCAGAACAGTAGTAGCAGTGTAACACAGCACCCAGAACAGCAGTAGTAGCAGTGTAACACAGCACCCAGAACAGCAGTCAGTAGCAGTGTAACACACAGCACCCAGAACAGCAGTAGTAGCAGTGTAACAGCACCCAGAACAGCAGTAGTAGCAGTGTAACACAGCACCCAGAACAGCAGTAGTAGCAGTGTAACACAGAACCCAGAACAGCAGTAGTAGCAGTGTAACACAGCACCAGAACAGCAGTAGTAGCAGTGTAACACAGCACCCAGAACAGCAGTAGTAGCAGTGTAACACAGCACCCAGAACAGCAGTAGTAGCAGTGTAACACAGCACCCAGAACAGCAGTAGTAGCAGTGTAACACAGCACCCAGAACAGCAGTTGTAGCAGTGTAACAGCACCCAGAACAGCAGTAGTAGCAGTGTAACACAGCACCCAGAACAGCAGTAGTAGCAGTGTAACACAGCACCCAGAACAGCAGTAGTAACAGTGTAACACAGCACCCAGAACAGCAGTAGTAGCAGTGTAACACAGAACCCAGAACAGCAGTAGTAGCAGTGTAACACAGCACCCAGAACAGCAGTAGTAGCAGTGTAAACACAGCACCCAGAACAGCAGTAGTAGCAGTGTAACACAGCACCAGAACAGCAGTAGTAGCAGTGTAACACAGCACCCAGAACAGCAGTAGTAGCAGTGTAACACAGCACCCAGAACAGCAGTAATAGCAGTGTAACACAGCACCCAGAACAGCAGTAGTAGCAGTGTAACAGCACCCAGAACAGAAGTAGTAGCAGTGTAACACAGCACCCAGAACAGCAGTAGTAGCAGTGTAACACAGAACCCAGAGCAGCAGTAGTAGCAGTGTAACACAGCACCCAGAACAGCAGTAGTAGCAGTGTAACACAGCACCCAGAACAGCATAGTAGCAGTGTAACACAGCACCAGAACAGCAGTAGTAGCAGTGTAACACAGCACCAGAACAGCAGGTTGTAGCAGTGTAACACAGCACCCAGAACAGCAGTAGTAGCAGTGTAACACAGCACCAGAACAGCAGTAGTAGCAGTGTAAACACAGCACCCAGAAACAGCAGTAGTAGCAGTGTAACAAAGCACCCACAACAGCAGTAGTAGCAGTGTAACACAGCACCCAGAACAGCAGTAGTAGCAGTGTAACACAGCACCCAGAATAGCAGTAGTAGCAGTGTAACAGCACCCAGAACAGCAGTAGTAGCAGTGTAACACAGCACCCAGAACAGCAGTAGTAGCAGTGTAACAGCACCCAGAACAGTAGTAGCAGTGTAACACAGCACCCAGAACAGTAGTAGCAGTGTAACACAGCACCCAGAACAGCAGTAGTAGCAGTGTAACACAGCACCCAGAACAGCAGTAGTAGCAGTGTAACAGCACCCAGAACAGCAGTAGTAGCAGTGTAACACAGCACCCAGAACAGCAGTAGTAGCAGTGTAACACAGCACCCAGAACAGCAGTAGTAGCAGTGTAACACAGCACCCAGAACAGCAGTAGTAGCAGTGTAACACAGCACCCAGAACAGCAGTAATAGCAGTGTAACACAGCACCCAGAACAGCAGTAGTAGCAGTGTAACACAGCACCAAGAACAGCAGTAGTAGCAGTGTAACACAGCACCCAGAACAGTAGTAGCAGTGTAACAGCACCCAGAACAGCAGTAGTAGCAGTGTAACACAGCACCCAGAACAGCAGTAGCAGCAGTGTAACACAGCACCCAGAACAGCAGTAGTAGCAGTATAACAGCACCCAGAACAGCAGTAGTAGCAGTGTAACACAGCACCCAGAACAGCAGTAGTAGCAGTGTAACAGCACCCAGAACAGCAGTAGTAGCAGTGTAACACAGCACCCAGAACAGCAGTAGTAGCAGTGTAACAGCACCCAGAACAGCAGTAGTAGCAGTGTAACAGCACCCAGAACAGCAGTAGTAGAAGTGTAACAGCACCCAGAACAGCAGTAGTAGCAGTGTAACAGCACCCAGAACAGCAGCAGTAGCAGTGTATCACAGCACCCAGAACAGCAGTAGTAGTAGTGTAACACAGCACCCAGAACAGCAGCAGTAGCAGTGTAACACAGCACCCAGAACAGCAGTAGTAGCAGTGTAACACAGCAACCAGAACAGCAGTAGTAGCAGTGTAACACAGCACCCAGAACAGCAGTAGTAGCAGTGTAACACAGCACCCAGAATAGCAGTAGTGTAACACAGCACCCAGAACTGTAGCAGTAGCAGTGTAACACAGCACCCACAACAGCAGTAGTAGCAGTGTAACACAGCACCCAAAACAGCAGTAGTGTAACACAGCACAGAGAACTGTAGCAGTAGCAGTGTAACACAGCACCCAGAACAGCAGTAGTAGCAGTGTAACACAGCACCCAGAACAGCAGTAGTAGCAGTGTAACACAGCACCAGAACAGCAGTAGTAACAGTGTAACACAGCACCCAGAACAGCAGTAGTAGCAGTGTAACACAGCACCCAGAACAGCAGTAGTAGCAGTGTAACACAGCACCCAGAACAGCAGTAGTAACAGTGTAACACAGCACCCAGAACAGCAGTAGCAGCAGTGTAACACAGCACCCAGAACAGCAGTAGTAACAGTGTAACACAGCACCCAGAACAGCAGTAGTAGCAGTGTAACAGCACCCAGAACAGCAGTAGTAGCAGTGTAACACAGCACCCAGAACAGCAGTACTAGCAGTGTAATACAGCACCCAGAACAGCAGTAGTAGCAGTGTAACACAGCACCCAGAACAGCAGTAGTAGCAGTGTAACACAGCACACAGAACAGCAGTAGTAGCAGTGTAACACAGCACCCAGAACAGCAGTAGTAGCAGTGTAACACAGCACCCAGAACAGCACGTAGTAGCAGTGTACACAGCACCCAGAACAGCAGTAGTAGCAGCGTAACAGCACCCAGAACAGCAGTAGTAGCAGTGTAACACAGCACCCAGAACAGCAGTAGTAGCAGTGTAACACAGCACCCAGAACAGCAGTAGTAGCAGTGTAACACAGCACCCAGAACAGCAGTAGTAGCAGTGTAACAGCACCCAGAACAGCAGTAGTAGCAGTGTAACACAGCACCCAGAACAGCAGTAGTAGCAGTGTAACACAGAACCCAGAACAGCAGTAGTAGCAGTGTAACACAGCACCCAGAACAGCAGTAGTAGCAGTGTAACACAGCACCCAGAACAGCAGTAGTAGCAGTGTAACACAGCACC